CTATGGCAGATGACTTCGGACTAGGTGCGTTCTACATAGTCACCCTGACAACAAGACCAAGTTGCGACAACATGGTCAACCCACTTCTATACATCGAAAGGAGACTGCCACCATAACAGAGGCCACAACATCTTGTTCTTCATATATTCTAATAACTATTAATACTTCAAATATATTCTCGCCCAAATGGCCAGCGTGCATGTACCAAAGTTAATGGATATAGCAGTGAACCTTACAATGTATAAGCAAAATTAGCCTGTTTTAGCATACATCTGGTATCCCTTGTAGTCATTTATTGCCATCACGCTTCATAAACTAAAGCAGGAGCTTATAATTACCCTCAATCCTTCTTAACTTTTTGACTTTTCATCAAAGGGCAAGTATACCAATTGCTTTCCTCTAGTGCTGATTTAGGAATGTTTACCCTAGCTTTACGTATAATGTATATATATCCTCAAACTAGCAAAGGTGACAAGATTGTGGCCAATTTAGGAGGTAAGTCTATACGGAGCATCGAAACAAAGGGTTTACAAAGTCTGTATCCTCTTCGATGTCACAAAGGCCAAGTCTTTATCTAATATTTGAGGTAAAATACTTTTTTTAAACTAATTAGTTCTCACGATTAAAAGCGTGGAACACGGTGAATCAAAATACAGAGGCTGGTAAAAAGTTTTTCCTTAACTTAATTTGTTTAGTCCAATTATTGGACGATGAAAGTCTGGAAGCCAAATAGTGAAATTTTTCTATAAAATGTGATTTACTGATAGCCTCTGCACAAATAGCATTATCTTGGAAGCATTTCGTTTCGGTGGTTTTGTTGGTTCCCATAAAGTTGTTTAAAAGAGCATTATAAATTGGGCCAAATTCTTGCTTAAAGTCTTGCCTTACTTGGCTAGTTGCCGTGATTGAGTAACGCTGATTTGAAATATAAAAACGAATCTTTCGTCTGTTAGCAATCAGAAGACAACAACACATTCCAATCGCATTTATGCAACATAGTCGCGTAAAATACTGTCTTTGATCTATCAAATACATCGACTGTGGTGAAAAGTACCTTGGATAAAAATAAACGGAAAGAACACCAGAGAATCTTTGGAAGTATGGACATGGAAATGTTTGAAATCGCAGAACACATTGCACAAATGGGCTGCAAAATCTACTGGAATGCGAATGATTGACTGGCCATATGCGAAAAATGCAAGGAAACACAAGATCATGTAAACATTGGACATGACTTTTTTCAAAGAAGCCTAATGAAGAGAATGGAAATGGGAAGAATCAGCGATAAACTTGCTGTTTGTTTAGGGCAACTTTGAAAATGCCAAGATTAGGCAAAATTGGCCCTAAGAAGGTGCACGGATCAGAGATAAGCCTTGGGCACCAGGAAAAGGCATCGGAACAAAAAGGGGATATTAAAAAAGAGGAAGATTAGCAAAGAGTAATTAGGCGATGGAGCCAAAGATGAAAATCGGCATAACAAGTTTAGACGACTAACGAAATTTGGTTTACAGGGTTGCCAACTAGCATGTGAGGGTCAATCTCCAAACCTACCACAAATCCACTCGATAACGTAGAAGAGGCCAGCACTGGTACAATCTCAACTGGCTTACGACAAACATGTTGCCATCCAACATGCCAGTATGCATGCTGGGCTAATCACAACAATGGCTACTCAAGGATGACAAATACGAGTGAAAGTATTGATACAGATTGTCGAGTGACCACCTGATGGAAGCTCCGCGAAGTGAATCACTTCTGGCCAGTAAACTACACTCAAAAGGGGGTATGTGTCGGCCTGATCGGATGAGATGAGAGTGCAAATGAGAGTAGAGAGGAGATTCAGGCATGGATACAAGTCAAGAGGGAGGAGAGGCAGCAAAGCACTGGCCAACAGGAGTGACATAGTCATGGAGATGATATTTATCATTCGAATCATCTTGCTTTGTTGCAAAAGAGTTGTTCAGTGATGCACATTCGCTTCTCGCTGGCGAAATGTCTGCTAAGGCATTCCCGGGGAAGAGACACGGCAACACGGGCAAAAGACATAGGTACAGATACCTCGCTCGAAATCACTTTGATAATATCAATGTTCTACTGACCCTAGGTCATATATGGTGATAAAGGATTGAAAGTTGCAATTTCCCACAATTAGATGAGTAGACCTCACGTTTCCATTCAACTTAACAATGAAGTTTCGACCTCATCAGCATCCTAAGCGAGATTCGAACCCGAGTAATACAGCCAGACCGGTTCATAGGACAGACGTAAATTACGAGGAAGGTCACGTCTATCCCATAGTTCACTTAAATAGTATGATTTTCGATAAAGTAAGCTATTATAATCTATTCCCTTACTAGCATTCATTAATAATAGGCTTAGAGTAGATTTTACACAAGAGTTATAGTCGCTCTAGCTCGCGTAAGGTAAGGAAAGACTGATAGTTTATAGTATACTATAAGAGAAACGTATATCTTATTCACATAATTGTGGTAAAATTCATTTATCACATGTGACCATGGGTGTCCAAAACACCTATACAAGATTTGTTGATAGACTCCAAGCCTACTTTCGATGAACTTAGAAATCATGACTGAATTGTGAGATGCATTCAGTCTAGTTCGTTTTAAGTGATGCAGGAATGGAAATTGAATTTTCACACATCCATAGGATTAGACCTTAACTTTCCATTTGATTGTACATACTTTGCTACCTCAAAAGTTATGCTCATCCAGATTGAACTTCCGTTTCGACCCCGCCTAGGTCCCATCAACACCCCCAGCCGAACTCGAACCAGGATAGTACTGTATATAACCTAGAGACACGCGACATTGCCACTAGTGTTGTTCGGTCACAAAGTAGATGTCAATTTCAAGAAAAGCTAGACATTTTCTGATATCACATTCTCTGGTTGGCATGGCGATGGAGCACAGTTCTATTTTCTGTTGCAATCGACTACCTTACTACTTTTTCGTTTTATAAGTAGTCATCACATATATATATATATATATATATATATCTATATACATCAACTATAACAAAATTAATGGTCATACTTTCTGCTTGTCATCGGGAAGTAGGATTGCAGCCGAACATCTTTCTTGTCTCCATGCTTTCGAGAATCCTCGGAAAGCATGATGCCCTGCAATGAAGATGTCCATCAAATGACGGACATAAGCTCAGCACAGATTCAACGAGGTCGCGACTGAGATTTATTTGTACAAATATAAAATTAACGCTTCAAGGCAGGCAATCCTCCTTCGGCTTGTGGTGATGCCAAGATTTTGAATTCCCTTGACTCTTCTCCTCAAATCAAATAAAAGATTAAGTATTGTCCTCGTGACTACCAGTTAATCAGTAATATGAGATGTATTCACCA